ATAATTTTAAGGGTAAATTGGTAATTTTGTTTGAAATGCTTTTATTTAGGGGGAGTTTTTGATTTTTCAAATGCTTTTAATTATAAAATTTACCACTTACTCTCCATTGTTAGTTTTGAACTTTAAAGTTGAATTATTTTTTATATAACAAAAAGGAGGAGAAGTTAGGTTTTAAAAATTTTAATTTCTCAATGAAAAAGGGGGATCTTTAATATTATCCAAATATTTCTCTTTTTTTTATTAAATGTTTTATTAAGGGAGAGTTTTGTCAAAAAATGATTTTTCAAATGTTTTTTTATATCAAAAAGGGGGACATTGTTGAACAATGTTTTATAATGTTTTGATATAACAAATTAGGGAAAAATGTTTTTTTTTTGACTTGATTGAATTTATTCAAAGTTTTCAAAAATAATTCAAAGTCGATTAAACAAGAATTTGAGCACAAAACGTTTTCTGAACAAGTAGTACCAATATTGTTCTTACAATATCGATACTATATTAATAATACTGATATTGTTCATGTGGTACCGATACCAAAGGTAATAGAAGTATTGATACTACCAGTTGTTTTCCAACGACTCAAATTCCATAAAGCAAAATAGGTACCGATACCCAAAGGGTTACCGATACTACTTTACACAGTAGTATCAATACCATGACCATAGTATCGATACTATCAAGCCTAACGATCTTTAACAACTAGTTTTATTTAAAAATAACAAAGGAAGTACCAATACTTATTAAAGGTGTATTGATACTCCTTGTTCTGGGTAGTTTATTTTTCAGAGAAAACATCCCCAAATGGCTAGAAACAACCACAAACACATTCCAACCTATAAATACAAGTTCAAGACAATTGGAAAAGGTAACCAACACCTATCCAAGCAATCAAACACAAGAGAAAAGCTTTTTCACTCTTTATTTTCTTTCTCTTGTAAATATTAGTGTTTAGTGAGCTTAATTGTGTAAACACCTACCTTGTAAGAGTTTTATTGTTTACATCTTTTTACCTTTTATAAAAGGGGGGTGGTTCTATCTTAGCCATTGAAAAGATAGGGATTTGTAAATGTTATCTCTTTTTCCGTGAAAAAGAAAGAACAAATTAGTGAATTTGTTAGAAAATCCTTGGTGAAGAGCTAAGGTAGTGGATGTACACTTTGGTTGAGAAAGTCGATCATTTTTCCTATCCTTAAATTTCCTTAATCCCTAAATTTCTCAAAAAGCCAATTCACCCCCTCTTGACACATTTTTGGTTGTTTAATTGAGCTTCTTCAATGCCAATAGATTTACACTTAATTGATTATGCCTTTCTTGATTGATCTTGAATTTTAACATTTAATTGACTGAGTTTGTTTAGAGATCTTGGAAATTCTATCAAATTGAGATTGACAACTTTAGATTTTTGGCATGGTAATTGAGAAATCATTGAGGACAAACATCAAATAAGGGGAATTTGATTAGTGTTTAAATTATACATTATTTTATTATTAATTACTCATTGATTAGATCATTTTAGTTTCTAACTTGAGTCTTTTCATTCATTTTCGATGCAATACATTGAATTCCAGAAATTATGCTAATAACAACGAAATCGTACAATTTTTTATTTTTCTAGATTCATGGAAATTCATGCACGACTTGGAACATGATACACCTGACATGGCATCTAGTCAGCGAATGATGTGGCAGCTGACATGTTGATGATGTGGTAGCTTACGTGGTGATGATGTGGTAGGTGATGTGTCATCCAATCAACACCTTTTAGAAAGCTCAGTCATCAGCTTCTAGTAGATCCAATCAGTATTGGCGTGGAGAATAAGAGTTAGCCGATTTTTTTTTTATTTTAAATTAAGATATCTTATTTTTATTTTTAGGAATTATCTTTTGTTTTGAATATTATTTTTCTAGGGTTTTTGAGGACTATAAATACCCCAATGGGGTAAACCTCAAATCATATTCGACTCATCACTTGAGCATTCAATCATTTTCAAACTTTCTCATTTCTTTCTTTCTTTATATTTATAAAAGTTTTTCTTTCTTTTATATTTTTCAAGTTACTTTATTTCTCTTTCAAAATGCTAAGTATGGTTTCTACCACGCTTAGCTAGGTTTTCTATAGCCAAAGGCTAGAGCAATTACTCTATTCTAATTCGTGAGAATCGAAAAACGCTTCATACCCTCAAGGGTTACATTTTTAGTTTTAAAAAATCAAGGATATATTTTCGAAAAGCGATTTCATTTCAAAAAGTGCACGTTGAAATTGAATTTCGGTTTCGATTAATAGTTGGGAGGAAGGATCAACTTGTGGCACATTCAACTTCATGTGAACACACTTAGTGGTGGTCCGCTAAGGGAAATTGAAATCTTGTTAGATTCTCAATTGAGGCGATAGAATTTGAGTCAGGTTTTTCTAGATTTTTAAAGCATTGAATTAATAAGTGATTGACGCTATTAACTCACAAAGAACCGAGTTCTAAAGATAGATTTTAGATTCTCGATTCATTTGAGAGAAAAACAAGTTATAGGGCTTGGGTCCTATACACTGTAACTGTCGTGAGTCCGAAGGTAAAATCCTATTCGAGGATCGATTTAAATCGAGGCAAAAGCTTTACCCCAAGGCTAATTTTTAACAATTGAATTTTCACTTAAAATTTACTTAGTTTACTTCTTTATTTTTCTTTCACATTTTACTTTTATTCCAACTCTCAAACCCCCCTCTTATTTTCTTTTACAAATCAAGATTGAAGTCATATCAAAAGCGAGGAAATTGTCAAACTCTTAGTCCATTTGGATCGACCTTTCCTCTTACTATTCTACTTATTCTTATTCATTTTATTGTGATTAAGGCTATTTATTTTATATCATAATGACGTGTGTCAATCTCATAAATGTCATTATCTTCCTTTATAACATGAATCTCTTCTTTAAGTTATTTCCACTTCTCTTCCATTTGTTTGCTTCGCTCTAACCTTGCTTCTTCTTCTAAATCATGGACACGCTTAAATTGAGGCTCTTCTTGATAAGAACTAGCTCCTTGTTGCAAATTCACGGAAACACCAGCTTGATTAATGTGTACTTTCCCTGTATAAAGTGGGGTTTATTGATGAGTTTTGATGTGAGTCGAGGTGAATCCTGGCGGATAAGTTGGACCTTCAGTCACAATTTCGGGCTCTTTACCTTTTCCACATTGTGGGTTTCTCTACCTAAGTAGACTAAAAAATCTCTAAAAATGTCTTCCTGTTCTTTTAAAATCATTTCTTCCATTTTTGCCTGCATCTTTTTCACATTTTCCTCAATCTCTTGCTGCATTTGGGAAAGTTTATCATCCATGTCTTTCTTTCTAGTGTTGTACATGTAACACCCATTTCTCGTATACGTCCACATACACGAGTCATTGATGTCACATGAATTTCAAAACATTTTCATACTTGAAAACGAATAAATTTTTTTTTAAATAAACGGTTTAATAATATAATTTATAAAATATTTTTCAAATACATATATATATATATATATATATATATATATATATATATATATATATATATAAATAATAACTTTTAAAAGCCATCAAACAATAGTTTAAGTTCAAATAAAATATAATACTACAACCAAGTATCAAGTATCTTATCAGAGCATCACAACATATATAAGTACATACCAACTAGTAATATCAAAATAAACATCTGGAGATGTCAAATTGTTACTGATGAGGCAACCCTTGAAAGATGTTGTCAGTTGCACTCTTTACTCCTATTCGTACACTAAACCTACGAGTGAAAATCATCACACGCTAAGTATTCGCTTAGTGAGGTATATTAAAACAAATAAGGCATTTTTTAAAACATGAGTAAACCATTATAATATCAAAATATGATTTATCATATAAAATACATAAAACACATAAAATCTGACTTGATAAGCCAAGTTTCCGTCAAATAACCTGTGAAACAATATTTAGTATGCCCATCATACCTATCAATCGATATATTTCAAAATAGCCCAATGTATATCAAATGATAAAGCAAGGTACATGGGTTGCACATAAGTGCTAAATAAAAGCATATGTTCTGTAGTAACAGGAACACTATACTAATATATCGAAACTGTAATTCACAAACTCATTATGAATATTATGGATGAACACATAGTGCCAAAAATACACAAAGTACTTATACGAAAATGCAACATCTGCATTAAATAAAATCGATCGATAACCATCATACACAAAGTATGTCGAAATGTACCTACGACTCTCAATGCACATACAATATGCCTTTAAATCAAATTCGCAGATTAAACATTTATTCTAAAACATCGATTTTCATAAAATTATTTTCATAAACTTTATGAAAATATTTCAAAATATTGTAAATTATGCTTTTATAAAAACATTCGAGGTTGACTCATTGTAAGTTGTCCTTATATCATATAAGTATATAATCAATGCATTTACCTAGTATTCCTCACTATTATGCCTTCCTATCGAAATTCGATTATTCTTGAACTTTTTTCCTTGCCTTTCGCTTTGCTCGTATCACGTGTTCGTTCACGATCTACACGAGTATCAATACAAAGCACATACAAATATATAATACATGTTAGTATTCTTACTAACATTTCAAACTTAATAATAATACTCCAAAAGTACTATTTTTTCGAATTCTTTTAAAATTCATCTTAACTTTTCTTTTTTATTCATAATGAGACATTGTCATAAATTCTTCAATTCAAGCCCAAATAAGCCCATTAAATTTCCATAATAGATGTTTGAAAATATATTTTTTGTTATTTTTATTTTATCAAAGAACCTATATTTCCATCGAAGACCAATAAAATTCAAAAACGTTTTATTGATTTGTCATCTGGTGGAATTGAAATTATCCAAATCCAGGGAAATTACATATCATTTGCATTTTTATAGTCTATAAATAAAACCACCTTCACTATCTTGAAGTTGACCACGTCTCGCTTTCATTTTTCCTTCTCCAAGTGCTTCAATGGAGAATGATCATCAGCCTTCACCAGACAAGGAATCCTCGGATGAACAAGAAGCAAGCCCCGCAAGATCATATGACTGCACCTTTTGTAAGAGAGGTTTCTCCAACGCACAAGCCCTAGGTGGCCACATGAATATTCATCGTAGAGACAAAGCTAAGCTCAAACAACCTTCTCCAACTCATGAAAATGCCCTACAATCTTCGGAGATCTATAAGACCACCCCCTCGTATTCTCCGAAACATCCAAGCTCCGCAACTAGTAAAGACGAAAGCAGCCATGGAAAGTGGCCTTGGGTTCATGATGACGATGATGATAGCCAAATAGACAAAACCACTAGAATCCGAAAACTGTCTTTATTTGATGAAAATCCGAGCAATGAAGTTCAAGAGGGTATCAAGAATAAGTTTTCATCGAGTCAGAGTCCGTCGATGTCTGAAGTGGACCTTGAACTTAGACTCGGACTTTAACCTAAGGATTCATCATCACCGAAGATATTCAAAAAGTTCTTTTAACTTTTAAACAATATCAATATCATATCATGGATTCATGGTACGTTTTTCCCCTTCCTTTGTTATTATTATTATTTTTAAAAATTGTTGGATGATAAATATAACCTACATCTATACTTAGCCTCAAACTCTTTAGGGGCAATAATATTTAGCCACCACATTTGTGATCGTATTTATTTATTTCAAAATTTTTCATGTATTTTAATTAGAATTTAGCTTGATCGGATTTAAAATATCATGTTTTGTAAATTTTATATATAGTTAGTAAGGATTTCTCAATTGCTTGATTTGCTTCTAGTTTGTGAGCAATCGTTTTTTTTTCTAGGGTTTTGCTTTGGTTCTTTACATGAGAAATAGAAAAACAATGAAAATATGAAACACTAATGTTTAGTAGAGGAATTTGAACCATGACTAATGTGTTACACATTAATCCAAACAGAAGATTATAAACAAGTGATTCTTGTCGAAAGCTGTCGGCCATTAACGACAGGTTTTCAGCAAACTCGGTTCAGATTGATTTCTCAGACCTTATTACATAACATAAACTACACTTTGAAGCATTCCAATGGACTGGTTGGATTTTCTAAGGAGATTCGGTTTAACCTTTCACGTAATATTATGGATTGTCGAAGATGTAGGATTCAATATATTTAGAGTATGATAAATATGACAGTTTATAAGATATTGAGCGAGATTGGATTGTTTTAGTTGCATTTATGTGATAATTTTGTTTTTTGTATAAGGATAATAGCTAATCTAATAAGGAGAATTTTTTTAGAGTTTATTTTTATCTTTGACTTATTTGTGGTCTTTGTACGAATATTTTTGAGATTTTTTTACATCCATGTGAATCTTATAATAAATCAAATATGTTTTGTGAAAAATATTGGTTGGATATATATATATGATAAGATCCAATTACACAATATAAAATTATTTTAATTTTATATAAATTTAATATCGTTAGATGAAAATAAATAAATAGATGAGATTAACAATAAAAAAATAAGAAGATATTCGGCAGAAAAAAAAACAAATATTCAATCACCAAACATTTAACCCCAACTGCGCATGCAGCATGCATGTTAATGTACGTTTCATGTAGTTTTGGCTAAAAGAATTTCGATTTTGAATTCTTTATTGCTCTGTTTGGAAACGATAATGTGAAAATTTGGAATTAGAATTCATCTTTCTACATGAATGATGCAAATGAAATGAATATGTTGTAGATAAATATTTAAATTTTAATATAATGTATAGTTTGAAAATATGATATATTGGATAGATCAAATCCAAAAATAAATTAAGGATTTTTAAATAATTATCATATTGACATTTGACAAATTAAAAATTTTAAAAATAATTATTTATAATAATTTTTAAGTATTTTATTCCTTAATTTATATTATGTCTAAAATTCTTATTAAAAAATTAAAATCTAAATTCCTCACCATTTAGTAGCTTATAGCTTAAAGTACTTGAAGGGGCCATTGATTTTCTGATTCTTCGGAAAATATATATCACTTTCTGCGTGTCTGAATTAGTTTTGCATGGAAAGATGAAAGTAACATCAAATATTGAGAAAATATAATTATTTAAATTTAAAAATACAATAATGAATTCAATTTTTAAAATAATGTTTTTAAGGGAAAAGGCTTGTCTTATATGAAAAATATTTGAGTTATAATAAGTTACGATTTAAATATATATATATATATATATATACAAATGAGTAAGGCATATGATCGGGTTGAGTGAGATTTTATTTGGGCTGTCACGCGAATGGGTTTCTCGGCAAGTTGGATCGAGGTAATTAAAAGATGTGTGTGCACAATATTTTATTTTGTAGTAGTGAATGGTAGAGATGCACATAGCCGGATTTAAATCTGATCTGGATCGGATAAAAATCGATCCGGTTTTTTCATTAAGTCAAAAATTCAGTTTATAAAAAATCGGTTTGGAGGGTCGGATGATGTAACCGGTTTCGGTTTGAAAAAAACCGATTTTTTTTAAAAAAACCAGTTTTTAATCCGGTAAAAAATCCGGTCATCCAATTTTTTAAACCCCATACCGGATTTTTAACCCCATACCGGATTTTTTTTGGATAAAAAATCAGTTTTTATCCGATTTTTTCAAACCGATTTTTAATCCGGTAAAAAATTCGGTCGTCAATTTTTTTCTCAAACTGGTTATACTATCCGATTTTAAAATATCCGATCCGGTTTAAAAAAAATCGGTTTTTCCCAAATCCGATTTCGGATATTTTTTGTGCACCTCTAGTGAATGGTGTGGTTGGGTAGAAGTTTGTTTCCTTAGCTTGGTCTCCGATAAGGTGATCTTTTGAGTCCATATATGTTTCTAATATGCAGTGAAGGCCTATCATCTCTACTACGTCAGGCGACGGTCTCTGGTCACTTGAAGGGTGTTCGAATTAACCGTTATGCCCCAACGATTTCGCATTTGCTTTTCGTGAACGACAATCTTATCTTTGAGGAAGTTTTTGGCAAGGATTCATAATTGGTGCGTGCATACTTTATCACAAGGTGGTAAGGAGGTGTTCGTTAAATCGGTCCTTCAAGTTATTCCATTGTCTGCAATGAATGTCTTTTATTGCCTAAAAGCTTGTGTTCTGAACTTGAAGGAACAATGGCATTCTTATCACAAGGTGATAAGGAGGTGCATATATATATTAAAGTTTTTTTTAAATACACTTGTACTTTAAAAAAATACACTCATATTGGTAGCCATACCTCGTTTATTATCTTCAATTCTATGTTGATGATAGATTTTTTTGAATAAAAAGTTAAGTTTTCATTAAATAAAAATGTAAGGGATAAGAAAAGCAACATAATTCTAATATAAAAATTCAAAATACGTGAAGAAAAATAACATTAAAACTTTTCATTTAATACATATTTTACTTAAAAATATTAGTAATTATCAATAATTTTAATGTCTCTATTTGAACTTATACGCAATATTAATGAAATAATATTATTTAACTTATATTTTTATATAAAAAATAAGGGCAAAATATTTTTAGATTTAACTAAATTTGCTCAAATGATTCAAAAATAATTAAAAGTCCAAATTAATTTGAAAATATGTTTTAAATGTTTTCTAATTTTGTCAAACTTTTACATATTGTTGAAAAACTCAAAACACTTAAAATCAACCAAAAACTATTTCCAATCTCGAGACCAGCATGTCAGTCTTGAGACCGGAATTCCTGAAGGCTTTTCTGGTATCGGTACCATGGTGTGGTATCTATACTAAAAGGTGAGTATTGATACTCCTTTAAATAGTATCAATATAGAGGTTTCAACGGCTATAAATTTAAATTTTTTTCATGCTCAATCTCGATACCAACTTCTCGGTATTGATATCATAGTTGCATGTGAGCATTTAATGCTCAAAATTAATGCTTTAAATGGCTCCAAAACATCTCAACGGCTAGTCACTCATTCCAACATATAAAATCAAGTTGAGGAACTTGAAGAATATTACAACATCTATCCAAGCAATCCACATCAAGAGAAAAGCTCTTTCAATCTTATTTTCCTTTTCTCTTGTACATAGAGTGTTTTTGTGAGCTTAGTTTGTAAACACCTACCTTTTTGAGGTTTTCTTGTTTACATTTCTTTATCCTTTTGTAAAAAGGGTTTTGGTTCTATCTTAGCCATTGTAAAAGATAGATAATTTGAAAAGGTTACTCTTGATCCTAGAAAAAAAAAGAATAAATTAGTTTGTGGATCGCCACGTCAACACCATAAATTGGCATGCCAATATTGTAACTGTCAAAGACAAAAAATATTGGCCAAAGGGGCACATTGAGTTTGTTTCTAAGCTGGAGGGTTACATTGAGATAAAAAATAATAATACGAATGTCACATTAGTTTTTTTTTCGAAAGTACAAGGACCTCTGATATCTTTTGGGAAAAAAATATATGATAATACTAGAGAGTCACCTGAAACAATACTTAAAAAAAAAATATAAAAAAATCACTTTAAGAAAAAATAGGACAAAAGCTTCTTTCATGTTGAGGATATATTTTATTAAATGGTCGAGGATAATATTTTTTGAACAATTTTTATTTAAAAGAGGTGAAGGAGAATTTTTACTTTTAATAGGTATTTAACCTATAACATAAGAGAAAAAAATATATATCAACGGATAACTTTTAACCACTTACTTTAAAGATTATTAACTATTGAGGATAAATTTTAAACTTAGATCATATATATTACTTAGGGTGTTTGGTTAATGGAATGTAAGATTACTTTTGAGAATAGTATTCATGGAATATAACATTACCGGTCATATTATTGGGAATGTTACATTATCTTGTTTAGTTTGTTTTGCTAGATTATAAGATTATAATATTTGGATGAGATAATATAAGATTACCTGAATATATATTTTATTAAATTGTCCTTGTGGCGTATTTTATTTTTAACAAATTAACCTTTCAATGTTAAATTAAACTTACATAAAAATTTATAATTTTTTTTATTAAACTATTTAAATTTTATAAAAAAATCATATTTAACACATTATTGATATACTTAATATATTAAATAATCTTCAAATATAACTATATTTTCACAACGGAAAATGATGCCACAACATATATTATTTTAAATGTATGTAAAAAAATATAATGTTCGGTAGCTTGTTTTGTTTAACTTCTGCTACTCAACATGCAAACTTTGTATTTAAATATGCTCCAATCTTTTGGTCAAATAATTACTTATCTAATTAAAAAAATATATGATAAAAAGAATTCAAATAAGGAAAACTCAATACATAAGAGATAATATTATCAAATTTGATGGGAATTAACAATTATCTAAAGTGGCGTTTGGTTCACTGGAATCCCTTGGAATTAGGGGGAATTGAAATCCAATTATGTCACTTTCCCATGTTTAGTTCAAGTTTTTAAAGAGGGAATTGGAAT